GGAGAATTCGGAAATGCAACGGTTGGAACAGCCGCTTCCCTACGACTTTAAGGCTCAATTACTGTTGATGCACATCCGTTACTTTCAGATATTAGACGTATGGACACTTGTCCATGGCTGTTGTCCTAATTTTAACAGTGTCATTCATGTGTGTGTTTAATGCCATGTAAAGGCTATATAATACTGTATAAGGCTGAAGGCTTTCTGGGTTCAGCAAAGCAGTGCAGAGTTCCTTTCCTAACCTGGATAGAGTTTTAACTGTTGACACCAGGAAAGGTGAAAGATTAGGGGCAAGGAACAGGAGCTAGGAGCGACAATTTGAGATATTCGGACAAGGTTTGTAGACACTCCAGCCTAAACCTTCTGGACCAATCATAGCAGGCGATGCAGGAATTTACTACGAGTCCCTCTTAGCATCAGAATTACCTATAATGCATTGATGTAGTATTTGCTTTAACCATAATAGTGACGTTTTAATGATGACCATATCTTCCGAATGAGCAGGCTATATGTTTAAAACCTCAACAACTGGCTGCTCTAAAGGCTTTTTTAAAAAAAAAGAGTCAAATCTGTGGTTTTCTGATTGGTTCAAACCCATTTCTGCTGACCCTTTGGAATCAGACTCTATCCAATCCTTTCCAGTCTGATACATTTGGTTTGCTAGGCTACATAAAGCCAAAGCATGTATGGGGAGAACATGCAAACACTATGCAGAAAGACTCCAGACCGGAGTTTAAATCCCAGAATCTTCTCACTGCTGACAGTAAAGCTTGGATTGAAGTTGTAGCACCAAAAAAGATACAAATGGACCTGAAGATGTTTAGACTTCCATCTGTAGGGACCAACATAGACAATAGAGATTGGCCGCTGATGGCTGAGATAATTCGGAGATCCTCATGTGAGGAAAAGTGGATTTACAAAGTCAGGGCTGTTGAAAAGAAGACCTCAGAGAAGACCCTGAATGGGGGAAGATGAAGTTTACTGTTCACTAAAGAACATCACCTCAACATCTAAACAGAAACTAAGTTTGACTGTTTGTTTTCTGCAGCCGATCAGCTGTGAGCTCCACCCTGCACTCACCGCTTAGGTACGTAGAACCAAACCCTCAGTTTGGTAAAATTTATGTTCTTAATTATGAAACGCCACTCAGTCGCAGTAATAAGACCCAGACAGAAGAAAGGAGCCATATCGTCAGGGCATCTTTCCCTCCCGCTCTCCCAGGATGGAGCTCCGAGCTCTGGGGAAGATCTCAGAAGGTGAGGAGCTGACCGTCAGCTACGTGGACTTCCTGAACCTGTCGGCTGACCGTCAGAAACAGCTGAAGGAGCGTTTTCAGTTGGACTGCAGCTGTAATCACTGCACCCAGCACATCGGCGACGACCTGATGGCAGCAGCTGCAGAAGAAAAGGTCAGTGAGATGTTCTGGATTTCTTATTCATGACTCCACCTGCTCTCCTCACTGGATTTCCCTCACAGCCTTCTGCTGATGTGGTTAAAGAGGTCGCCGCCTTCAGTAAGGAGACCCTGGAGAAGGTTGAGAAAGCTCGCCACGATGGAGACCACGGCCAGGTAAGCTCTTCATCCTCCTCTGAGGTCCATCGCTCAATGATCTCTCCATGATGTTCTCCTCTTTTGTCTCTCAGGTGTTGAAGTTGTGTCAGCAGTGTCTGGAGAAGCAGGAGAAGGTCCTGGCTGAGACACACCTGTGTAAGCTCAGAGTGCTCTCTGCACTCGTTGAGGTGCTGTCCTACCTCAGGAAGTTCTCTGAGGCGGCGGAATACGCTCGGAAGATGCTGGAAGGTTACAGGTGAGTAAATCAGATGAAGGAGATTTTCATATTTTTGATATTTGAAAAAATGAAATGTTTTATTCCAACTAAAACTTAAATCTGAACATAAAAAGATTCTCAATGTCGTCATTAACCTTCCCTTTTACAAATCAGAACATCCGTCAAATGTTTCCAGTAGATGCCATTTTTTTGGCCCCGATACCGATACCCGGTTATAAAGTATCGGCCAATACGATACCATACCAATACCATCTGTTTGAAAGTGATGTGTGTACTGTATATATGAAGAACTGCATAATACTTGGATGTAAAATAATTGCCATCATGGCTTTGCTAAGCGGCTGTCTACCTTTGTGGAGCAGGAGAAAGACTAATGCTACGTTCACCCTACAGGCCTTAATGCTCAATTCCGATTTTTTTGTGAAATCCGATTTTTTTGCATTGCTGTTCACATTTACAAATACATATGACTTGAATGTGATCACCTGTGTAAAGCTTAAGTGTCCCGCATGAGCAGTAGAGGACGCAATGACGTCAGAAGCAAGCGTGCATTTACGGAAGTAAACATGGATGGTAGCGCTGAAGCGCATCTAGCGATCTTTACAAACCTTAAAACCTCAATCTTTTCAAGATGGTTAAAAAAATTACTGTTCTCCGCATTATCGTCCACCATTGTTGTTGTTTTTCTTGCCGCTTCTGTGTATCAAGAAGCAGAATAGTGGCCTATGTCGGTTCCTAATGGCGTTCAGATTGGATCGTTCAGACACAGGTCGTGTCTAAAAAGATCAGATTCGCATCGGATTCAGGACCACATAGCCAAGCGGCCTGGGTCGCATTGGAAAAAATCTGATCTGTGTTGTTCAGACTGTCATGAAAAGATAAAATCCAGGTCGCATATGAGCAAAAAAATTGGATTTGGGTTACTTCAGGCTGCAGTGTGAACGTAGTCTAATACAAAGTGAATCCAGTAGAACTTTTTATTGCCTACCTGGAATGGGGGACAATAGTTGAATAAAGTTTTGGCTCTCAAAATAGTATTTGTTGGTACTGGCCAATACCGATGCCACCACTTTAGTGCTGGATCGGGGCTACGTCTGATACTGGTATCTGTATCGCTGCAATGGTAGTTTCCAGTAAATCAAAGCCTTAAAGGAAAATGGATCATTATTTATAGCTAAAAGTAATACGTTTGTGGTGATTTAACGAATTTAGCGTTAATTAGTAAAAAAATAAATTTTTCATCACGGTCACTGAGTCTAAGAGCGGCCATTTTTACCCAAATATAGTAACACCTCAACTAATCTTCCGGCAGTGACGTCACGGTGCGGTAAGCCTAGCGCCATTCTCCCTGCTTTACAAGCTAAATCAATGGGAACTACTAGACACATCTGCAATCAACAACAATTATTGAAGATTTCCAGAGGACTTCACCATTAAAATTCACCAGAGCTATAGTGAAACTGACAATGCCCACGTGCATGGCAGCTGGATGCTGGAATACATCGGGTAAAAGTGAAAAAAGGGAGTTATTCACCTATTTAACCTTTCCGATTCTGATCCTCCACAGACGGGTTTGTCGTTGGATCGCCAACTTGTAGAGGGAGGATTTGCCA